GCAGGGCTCATGGACCAGCTGTTGGGTATAGCATCTTACAACATATTTAAAGAGCCCTACACACAAACATTGGATGTTTGTTATTCTAAGAAGATATTTCAATGCTATGACTCCATTTGCTCCTTTTCACACTTACTACAAGCATGTATAACTTAGGCATGTAAAATGGTAAGCATGAGGTTGGCCCTTTCTGATGAACCTCAGCAGTGGCCAGCCTGAATCTTGCTAGCACAGCACCAGTCGTGGAGGGGCCAGTGGGCCGGGGTGGTGGACCTGAGTTAAAAAAGTTAATTGACCATTTTAACATCCCTAGTATAACTACACTGCAGTATAACCAAGCATGTTTTCAAGCATTTAGCATATAAACTTCTATACAAAATATTTCCATCCTACAGTTTTACATGTACTTGACAGCTAAATGAGATAAAGGTAATATGTACCATTTCACTCAGTGATCTCTTGTAAGATGTAATTAAAACTAATGAAAGTGTCAAACAATATTATTAGCTGTACTACAAATCTTTGGCCTGTCAATACCAGTATACAATTTCTCCTTCCGTGGTATTGAAATACTCAGTTACAATTCGGAGGTCTTCCCTTTTTGGAAAGAAGGGAACGAGCTGGTCTTCATATTTTTCTTTGCTATAAACAAAGAACAACTCTGAGACGGAGTGCAAATATTTAGATCAATTTCAATTTATAAACAAAAAATCCCCATCTGTCTCAAAGGGATATTTATGAATCATCTAAGACTTATGAAGATTCTAGTAAGAGTTTTAGATTTTCCCAAAAATAAACATGACATAAAATTGTAAGGAGGTCCCTGTGAGACAAGATTAAACAGATGGACTCAAAGGACTCTCACATCGCATGATGATGATCACTAGAAAGTACTGTATTGAAGTGTAAGGAACTACAGCAAAAACACTTTCAAATATACAAAAACAGTTTCCCTACCCTTTCACAAACGATTGCAGCTTCCTTTGAATAAACTCAATGAATTGCTGCTACTTGCTGAAGTTGGTAGGGTTCAAGAGAACAAACTTCAAGTTAAAAAAACGATTGTAGAAATTCCAACACCAAAGTGTTTCACATGCTAATGGAACAGATTACTTCTTCCTAGTCAGATATCTAAAACGTGCAAATGTATTTTTTATATTATATATATATATATATATATATATATATATATATATATATATATATATATATAGACAAAAACACGTGTCACAACCTGTTTGCAAAATGAATTCTTTAGAAAAAATTGCACATAAAATACTGCATCTTGTAACTACATAATGCTCAGAGTTACTACATGACATGCCATACACTTAAGATCAGCAGATATATTTTTAAATCATGCCAATGATTATCGATCATTTAAAAACTGTTTTCTATTTTTATTTATATTTAGACAAAAACACGTGTCACAACCTGTTTGCAAAATGAATTCTTTAGAAAAAATTGCACATAAAATACTGCATCTTGTAACTACATAATGCTCAGAGTTACTACATGACATGCCATACACTTAAGATCAGCAGATATATTTTTAAATCATGCCAATGATTATCGATCATTTAAAAACTGTTTTCTATTTTTATTTATATTTTCATAGTTGTGCAAAATTATGGATCTTCAACTTTTTATTCCAATTATCTAAATTTTCAATAAACCACTGGAACATCAATGGGGCAGGTGGAAGTCACACAATTATTTAACAACAGTAGGCAAAATGTTAGTCTACTGTTAAATTGTTAAATCACAAATTGTCAACATCACCTGTTAAAAGGTAAATAGCCTTTAATCAAACATCACAATTCTCAAGCAACACTTTTCTTACTTTATTCGTAAGAAAATTTCAACAAATCATCAATGGAAATATTTTAAAAAAATTTTTATGTGCACAGGGAAATTGGTGTTTACAAACAAAAAAAACCTAATCCTTCCAAGCCTACTGACACACTATTTTTAGACATAAAACTCCCAAATTTAAGTAGGGCTTGAGTGCACTGCCCAACTTTACTGAATACAAACAAGCAGTTTATCTGATATCAGTTTCTTTATCTAAGGAGGTTGCTTCTCTGACATTAAAGACTTGAAAGATACTATATGGAATAATCGCTTCATTAAGAAATAGGAGAAACAAAGTATCATAATTAACAAATAGTTAAGTACAACTGATATATCTAAAAGTATTATGTGAAAGATTTATAGCTTTTACATTAATCGATTAAAATACTGTACTACAATAAACAGTAGAATTGACATGTTTATTACACTCTGAACTGTTATAACAACTCTGAAATTCCTTAAGAACTCACTCAACTTTCTATTCTTAGCTTTCTGTTATAAAGTAGATTTAATCTATATCTAAAATCTGTTTTAGGGATGTGAAGGACTAGTCAACTAGTCACTTCTCCCTACTTCTATCAGAAAGAAAGAGGCAGCAAGGGAGGAGGGGAACAGGAGAGGGTACTTCAAAATGGTAGCGCTGTGTGCAGCCTGGGGCCAGACCCTGGGCTCCACATGGTGCTGCTGCTTTGAAATGCCGCGTGCAGCCTGGGACCAGCTGGGGTGTCCCTAAGCTGCACGTGGCATTTCAAAGTGGCAGTGCTGCATGGAGCCTGGGATCAGCTAGGGACTCCCCCATGTGGCTCAATGCGGAGCTTTTGCTTTTAAAGTGCAGCAACAGCCCTAGGGCTGTTGCTACACATCAAAAGGCGAATGCGCCCTATCGACTAATCAAATAGTCAATGCAAAATGCACTGACTATTTGATGAGTCAATTACTCAATATTTAACATCCCTAATCTGTTTGAAATTTCATACGCAAGTTTGATCCTTCTAGAAAGAACCTTAAAATGATTCACCCCAGTATATGGAAATGTGTAACATTAAGGACACACATATGATCTCAGGAATAGCAGAACACTATTACAGTCATCTACATTGTAAACAGCAGAAGCCTCCATTAAACTTTTCCCTTTAATAACAGCACATCAAAGCAAAAGATATTTGCTAATGAGAAAGACTACAAATATTGTAGACAAAAAACCCGGTCAAAATTTTGTATGAATAAACAACATGCCAATAAAGCCATTAATCAGATATTTTAAAAAATAAGAACAAAGTCAATATACAGATGAAAGAAAGAATGACAATCAAGATCAAAGGGGAAAAAAAAAAAAACACCACCACAGAAAAGTTCTCTCTCAGGATGGTAAAGAGAAAACTCCAAAATTTTCCTATGTATTTTCAGTCTCAGAATAATTGTTCTACACATGTCAATAGTTTTACTAAAACAAGAGTACTGTATACAATTATCCAGTTGATGAGTAATTCCTTTTATAGAGAAATTCATCTATTACTAGGATATCTACATTTGCTGTACTTATCTAATTTATTTTCTACAATGA